CTCTCTGAGGGCATTTCGCCTCACACGACGCGCACGCCACAACCGACGAATAAAAGCGTATTATATATATATATATCACTCATATCACTTAAAGGTAGTTATTATAGACACACACTTTGATGGGTCATCCTTCTAGCATTCACGTCCTTCTAATATTTGCTCCAAATACTATACTACCGCAGTTTCAAAGAGATTTATGAGTAACAGATAGAGTTTTGAGTGCGGTTCAATTAACAAATAAAGTTTGATGGAAATGTATGAATTTCACACAGTAACAACACAGAAAAATTAAAACATGTAGAAAACGTACGAAAATATTGTCGCCGCTGTGGGAATCGATAGCCACAGCGACGAAAATCTTAACGCCTTCTTTACTTTAATTCTACATTGTTATTTTCGTCGCTGTGGCTATCAGCCGTTTAGCTCAGTGGCTAGAGCGTCAGGCCGCATATGCCGAAGACGTGGGTTCGATTCCCACAGCGGTGACAATCTTTTCGTACTTTTTCCACATGTTTTAATGTTCAGTCTTAAGTGCAGAGATTAGCACTATAAAAAACTTTGAAAACAGAAAAACTTAAGCAACAATGTTTGATGAGCACATAAAGCGATAAAATCAACTGTTTCAAAGGACTGAGCCGGGTTTCGAGCAAATTAATGGCAAATTCGAAAACCCCGCTCATGTTTGTGCTTTGGGTTACCGAAGCCAAACAAGTCGGTTTGCGTCGACCGATAACGGCAAATTGTAACAGAATTTACTAGTATCCCAATTTGCGTAACGCAGAAATTTCACGTTGACATCTTTGGGTCGCCCTTCGGCCTTGTAGAATTTTTGACAGTTAATCGACGTTACGGGGATTAGCTGAATAAATTATAAAAATAGACGTGGTCGTAATGTAGTTTCGTTCGTGATAAAAAATTTAATATTCTTACTTTACTTGTGGTGATAATTTCGAAAAAAACTATCATTCTTAAGTACAAAAGGTGTATGGTCGTATTTTTACTTTTTTTATGTGAGAAGGTGCCAAGCGCGCTGACGTTTCACTTGATGTTAAGTGATAATCACTGCCTATTGACAATGGCAACACTCGTAGGGTTGCAGATAGGTTGCCACCTTATAATAATGAGGGCCTCGGCTACCTCACCCGCTAGACGAAAGGCTGTGACGTCGTTGTACTTATCAGAACAGACCTGCCCATTTGTGCAAAAGCGACGACTGTTGCCTAGTCCTACCACGTAACGTTGTAGCGAACATTACCGGCCACAATTCTTGCAGCATTAATAAAGTAAATTTTATGGATTTTATCGTATTTATTTTTCATTTTAAATTCCCGATGTTGGCAAAATCATATGACTTGAAATTGTCATGGGGCAGACTGAGATGTTTTGCGCCTCGTTTTAATTGAATCAGATTACTATCAAATACAAAAACGTTAAAAGGGTTAACTCAACAGTCATTTTCGTTATTCACAAAAACTGTAAAACGTAAAATAATTTATTATCATGTCATTCAAATATCTTTATTAAATGTAGAAGCATTACACTTACTTATTGATTGTCAAAAAACTACCACCGGCTCAGAACTCTGCAGACATTCTTGTTATAAATGGATTCTGTGTTGAATCTAAAACAATTGAATCAAATGTTTAATATTGTTTTAAAAGCGTTAATTTTTTTAAAAATTAAAACATGATGAAAATCCAGAATTCAAATAAAAGTTTTTGTTTACATTTACAAATAACATACAACTGGCAAACATTTCACACCTTAAAAAATGGGATTTGTTCAGTTTCTTATCTGACGTGGTTGTCGTAAATCATAATTAAAGAAATGCATAGTCGGTAAATAATAATCGGTAATGGACAGGACTTTCACATTTTAAATAAAATACGTCGAAAAAAAACATAACATATTTTAATAAATTCATACAATTAATAATAAATCATAGCGTTTCAAGAGTGAAGTAACCAATGTATTATGCAATGTTCTCCCCAAACTCTTCATTTCCCAACTGGTAAACATTTCATCTCTAATCTGCCAAATTGTTTGGGCCAGCGCAATGAAATGGAACTTTTCTATTTTCAACTTTAAAAAGCTCGCAGTAGAGTACAAAAACATTCGGTCAATGGTTGATTTCGTATACCAAAAAGACACCACATCTAAAAAAATATTTATCTTAATAACTTTGTTAATTAGAGCATGACTAGATTATAAGTAAAACAATAAGAGCAAATAAATAAATAAAATAAAATAAAATAAAACAAAATAAAATAAATTATCATTATCAATTATATTTTACATTACATTGTTATAAATATGAAATGATTTTTAAAATGAAATAGACAGACAGCGGAGTCTTAGTAATAAAGTCCCTTTTTACCTTTTGGGTACGGAACCCTAAAATGGTAAATTATAATTATGATTGAATATATACAATGTGAGAAACACAACCACTGATCATATACATATCGCATCGCAAACATCTTTATGTTTAATACTAATAATAGTTGTTATCAGCGGCTCAATGAACGGCTTTAAATCGGATGACATAAAATACCTAAGAACTAAAGGACCAGTCACAGGAATCTAAGGTACTATGTATTAAACCATGAAGTTTCTTTTCTCTTCTGTTGCGAAAGACTTATCAAAATATTTGCATTTCTTAAAGGTTAAATTCTCATTGAGAAACATAAACCAAATCCATATAGCGTTTTTTATTAATCGTGAGTTTGTAGATAAATTAAATATCAAAAGAATATCGTTCAGTATTCTAGTACAGTCCAGTCCAGTTTTGTATGTATTCATTTGTTTTAGACCGTGAATAAACGTTTCAACTTCTTCTTCAGTAGAAGCCTTATTAGTGGCAGATGACAAACCCACATGTATCGTTACGCTCTCATAATAATTATCGCAAACGTAATTAGGACCATGACTAATCTCTCCTCACCAACAGCAAAACAATGCTGACCTATTTGCCAGTATGACGTGAACAAACGCATTAAGAAAGAATTTACTCGAGTAATAATAGCAACTATCAACGCTCGTAGTTTTGCCGACAGCGACTTTTATAGAAACATGTGCGGTGCCAAGAGAGTACCTTGAGGTACCCCTGCTACTGCTCCGTTGATCGCTACTACTATATACGGCTACGACTGAGGTGCAGATGTTGTGTAACAGGGTGACGAATACTGTCTGTAGGTATTGAAAAGACGTGGTTGCCAAATTATCAACGCTATTCAAATATTTCATACATGTGTGAAGAAATGAGAACAAAATACTAATATGATAATTATAATATTTTACTATGAATGTAGGTAATAAATTAATTTTGGTAAGATATTCTTTTTTTTTTTTAAAGACAAAATCTTATATTACCGAAAAATAATCATTATTATAGATATGAATATGAGATAATCATTATAATATCATTATAGACATATGCAAGAGTTCATAAAAACTATTTACTCTAGCTTTAAACGATACGAACAAGATAAATCAAAAAATCATTCGAATCATTGTCAAGCTATTTTGAAATGCGTTTTAAAATTTTTAGTATCACCATTAAGAGGGTTAAATAAATTAACCATGTTTATTATTCGCGATGATATTATACATACTGGTATGTATGTTTAGTTTGACAAAAACACTTCGTACTACATCACATGGTACAAATGAATTTTATACTTTTAACTGTTTGAAATATGATCCGGTCAAAAGGTTTCTTACACTTACAGACATTTTTAAAATTACGAGGCACTACAGAACTAATTGTTAAATAGAAACATAGTACGTACATATCGTTTCCCACTCCGAGGGAAGTATCAACGATAAAACGTCTCCTTCGCAGTACTGCGGCGTGGGATCTCCGAGCCGAAAATAGCCTACAACGCCGTCACCGATGACCGATGAAACTGAAGCTTCCAACTTGCCATCTGCACGGATCAAAATAGCATATCCTATTTCTAACAGTTTATTTGCCGTCGTACGGTACCACTAGAAAGGGAAAGCTTTTAATGGTTCGACGAGCCGTAAAATATTATGTCAGAACGGTTACGTGTACTTTGTTACTCGTATGTCGGATTTCGCTGTGTTTATTGACCGTCGAACGGTGCCAAATATCCACTTGACGTTTGTATTTTCGAGGGAGATCACGCCGTGCCAATGCCATGTTGTACTTGTCTGAAACCGGCGAAGCTCCGGGGGTTCAGTGTATTAATAGTGGAGCAAGCCATCGGCACCAGCGGCGGCGCCTCGGCCGATATTTACGGAAACGTTGCTTGCATGCTATTAGATAGCTTGATGTAATGGCACAAAGCCCATGTTCGCTTGGCAACTGGCGCCTAAGGCCGTTCCGTTAAAATTAGAAAATGCTTTGGGACGCGGGAGCCGTCTTTACTATTTATGGTAGTGCACGCCGCAGCTAATTCGGACTCGTGTGGGGTAACTGCCTGTTGTAATTCCGTTCTAGCTCACAGCTAGGGAAGTATTCGTATTCCAAAAATGAAATCAAACTTGGAAGTGTCTTTTTTTTCTTTAAGTGCACCGTTTTCCCTAGCTGACCTACATTCGATGGTTTAATGTATTGTTTGTTGTGTGAATGCAATATTGAAATTAATATCAAAAAGTGTGTAGTGTGGGAAGGGACCAAGGCATAGGAAATATTCAATCAAAAACCAAAGTCAACGACTGTATAAAAAGAAATGATGTAATTAAAATAAATAAATTAACCGTTTATTTATTAATTACATTTTGGCTTGAGATCCATAACGATCCCATGTATAATAAAAATAAAAAAAAAGAAATTAAATTTATATAAATTTTACAATAAATTACATTACGATAGATGGCGTTATATTTAGATGTTCAGTTCTGTCAGGTATCACTACGTACAACGTACAAAATGCTTGCGTTCCAAAATGGAACCGAGAGCACCACAACACACAGCACTCGCTCACGCGGCGGGGGCGGACCACAGGGCCGCGCGAGGGTCAACGAGATGCTTAGAAGCACTTGCGGTGGACGATGCCAGGGCCGGACTCGTCGTACTCCTCCTTGGAGATCCACATCTGCTGGAAGGTGGACAGGGAAGCCAGGATGGAACCACCGATCCATACGGAGTACTTCCTTTCGGGGGGAGCGATGATCTTGATCTTGATGGTGGAAGGAGCGAGGGCGGTGATCTCCTTCTGCATCCTGTCGGCGATACCGGGGTACATGGTGGTACCACCGGACATGACAGTGTTGGCGTACAGGTCCTTACGGATGTCAACGTCGCACTTCATGATGGAGTTGTACACGGTCTCGTGGATACCGCAAGATTCCATACCCAAGAAGGAAGGCTGGAAGAGAGCCTCAGGGCAACGGAACCTCTCGTTACCGATGGTGATGACCTGACCGTCGGGAAGTTCGTAGGACTTCTCGAGGGAGGTGGAGGCGGCAGCGGTGGCCATTTCCTGCTCGAAGTCCAGGGCGACATAGCAGAGCTTCTCCTTGATGTCACGCACGATTTCCCTCTCAGCGGTGGTGGTGAAAGAGTAGCCCCTCTCAGTGAGGATCTTCATGAGGTAGTCGGTCAAGTCACGGCCGGCCAAGTCCAGACGGAGGATGGCGTGGGGAAGGGCGTAACCTTCGTAGATGGGGACGGTGTGGGAGACACCATCACCAGAGTCGAGGACGATACCGGTGGTACGACCAGAGGCGTACAGGGAGAGCACGGCCTGGATGGCGACGTACATGGCAGGTGAGTTGAAGGTCTCAAACATGATCTGGGTCATCTTTTCCCTGTTGGCCTTAGGGTTCAGGGGGGCCTCGGTGAGCAGGACGGGGTGCTCTTCGGGGGCGACACGCAGTTCGTTGTAGAAGGTGTGGTGCCAGATCTTCTCCATATCGTCCCAGTTGGTGATGATGCCATGCTCGATGGGGTACTTCAGGGTGAGGATACCCCTCTTGCTCTGGGCCTCGTCACCTACATAGGAGTCTTTCTGGCCCATACCGACCATCACACCCTGGTGGCGTGGGCGACCGACGATGGACGGGAACACGGCGCGCGGTGCGTCGTCACCGGCGAAGCCGGCCTTGCACATACCGGAGCCATTGTCCACTACGAGCGCAGCAACATCGTCGTCGCACATGTTTGCGGTTTGTGTAAATGTGTCGGGACGCGCTGGAAGTTGACTCTACGGCAGCGAGACTGCGAGTGCGGCGTTCGGCGGCCCCGCACGCTTATATACTCGCGGTGTGCGAATGCGCCGCGCTCCATACAAGGCGACGCGCGGCCCCGCGCCCGCCTTACGCGCTCCCCGCCCGCCCAACAATATTTCACGGTCTTAGGCTCTTAATACTTACTTGTGGCCCTGTGTAACTTTGAACAGGCTTTTGTAGCATTCGCGATAAACTTAACTATTGGAATGGTGCTATTTCAGGCGACTCCCAGAAGCTTACGTCGTAGACTTGTATGGCTCGGTTAGATAGTACATGTTCCGTTTCCCTACAAGTTTTCTCATTCGAAGTTATTCGCATTAAAATTTAAAATGATAACAGATATTTTACAATTACCGTTATTGAATCCCAAAAATTAGTCAAGGTGACTTTTGTCCCACTCAAAGACCTCATTTAGCGCATCACTTCCATTCAATCATTCATTTACGAAGTTCACTTCATGTTATGCTGTTTTTTATTGATGTATTATTGAAACTTCAAAATACATATGCATAAATTCATTTAATGCTAGCTAAACCTTAATGGCAGTATCTATTTGCTGCTAAACAGATGTAACCCGAATCGTTTTATAAATATGTTAACGAAAATCATTCCATATTCATATTATGTACCTATAATTTAAATCATCTTATTTCTTTAAATAGATTTTTATAGGTACATCATTAATTATATTACATCAGATGATTAATTATGCGAACATCTTAATAGCGATTCAAATTTTCGATAACATAAAGTGTCGTTTTTAATCAGTATTATTGATTCATGTTAAATGCTGTGGATCTTTCACTGTTATACAGAAGATTCCTTTAAAGACTAAATAAGCTTTAAATATCACATTGACATAAGAAACTTTATGTGTACTGAGTAATTTGTTGGAATAAATTAGGTAAAATTTTATTGAATCGATGATTAATTATCGAATTGATTACAAGAACTTTATGTGTGTGTTGTGTAATCATTCATATACAATACTTAAATATAAATTGCATACATTCTAAGGTGTCTCTTAAACCAATTTAAGCTAGCTAAATGTGTACTACACAGACATCGTCTGACATTAAAACTTTCAGAGGAGGTTTATCAAAATGCTGAAAATAATTTTTCCTTAACCAAAAAGATAAGCTACCGAAAAAAAGGCTTAGTTATCTTTACTTTCAGAGGTTTCTGCCAATGAAATGACATATATAAAAATATGCACATGCAAGCAATGGCTTGTGCCTCTATCTAATACCTAGAGGTATAGATTACGGAATTTCCCTTTTCAAGACAGGGTCACTATCTTGTTTTTAAATGGGCTTCAAAAACGGGAGGAGGTTACGTTCGGGTCTATGTTTTTGTTACATATCTGTTGCTTCAAAACTCCGTCATTTATGAACCAACTTTTTTTGCATTGAGTTCGGTTAAGCTCTAGAGCTCTAGTTCAAGCTCTCCGGAGATACATCAAGAGCAAATCCTCAAAATGGAACAGAAAAAGTGATTGAGTGAGATATTTGAAGTCGGTTTCGTTTTTCGTTGCTAAAAATGTTTACATATATTTTTTTTTATGTGAAAATTTGCCAAACGAGCAGACGGTTCACCTGATGGTAAGTGAATACCGCCGCCCATGGACATCTGCTACACCCGAGGGCTTGCAGAAGCGTTGACAACCTTTTTGGAAATTGGGCTCCGGCTACCTCACTCACCAGACGAAACGCGAAAGTATTCGTCATACTTTCACTTTACGCCAGTCTTCTGTGAGGTCGTGGTACTTACCCGGACGAGCCTGCCCATTCGTGCAACAGCCGAGGCTGCTGCGTGGTTCTACCACCGTTAGAGTTTGAGAGAGAGCGGCAAGCACGCTGGTGGTTCTTCTGATGATAAGTGATAACCGCCTCGCTTAGCCTACGAGTGTTGCAGATGCGTCGCCATCGTTAAATAAAATGGGCTCCAGTTACCTCACTCACCACTCACTCATCCACTCCTCGCCGGTCTGTGCGGTTCTTCTCCGAACGAGCCCTTTGTGATTTCTGCGTGGTCCTACTACAGTCATTATCCTTTCTTGCCGTCTCCACTTCTCTTATCTTGATATTATTTATTCGCGGTTTTATGCGCTCCAGTACTGTTCTACTATAGATACATATTCACCAAGGGTGTGTTCTGTTGTTATTTTTACACATTTTAGTGCCACAAAGACTATTTTACAGTATATTATGATTTGTTAAGGAACAACCGATAATTTCCTTTTTATCTAAGCAGCCTATGTCTTCTTTCTATTTTGCTAATTTATTTCCTCCTCTCTCTTAATCAATTTTAATAGTTACTGTTCTCTCTGATTACATTTGAGTAATTTTTGAAAATATTTTATGTATGTGTCAGTAGGCTTAAAAATACACCTAACATCTTTTATTATGTGCTTATACACAACTACGATGTAGATATAACACTAGCAATTCAGTTGACCGTGGAACAATTATCTGAAAGACATGACCTGACCGTCTATAATAAATTTGCAAACCTTGGAATTATAGAAAACCTACTTGGTTGCCATTTTCTCACTTTAAAAAAAACATGTACATGGGACTGACATTTTTACTGTTGTAGGTTCTTCTGCTGTTGTACGAATGGGCGGGCGTGTACGGGAAAGTATCCGGAAAAGAACAAGACTGCCGTGAGATGGAAGCTTTAAGCTTTCGCGATTCATCCGGTGAGTGAGGTATACGGGGCCCACTCTTTTGAGGTTGTCAACGCATCTGCAAGCCATCGGATGTTTTTGATGTCCATGGGCAGTGATTATTCACTTAACATGAGTATTGATTATTCACTTAACATGAGTATTGATTATTCACTTACCATAACAGTTATTCATTTGACATGAGGCGAGTCGCCTGCTCGCTTGAAAACTTTTCACATTAGAAAATAACGAATGTATCATCTTTGTTTTTGCTTTGATAAACTCTCAAGTTGAAGAATTTTAATCATTTTTCACGAAAATGTACATAACATTTTCATGCGGTGAAAATGGGAGCGGCTAACTAGGCTTGATAGGTAAAATAAAAAATCCGTGAAATAGTTTCATTGAAATGCATCTATTTGCATAAATGAAAAGTTATTAAATCTTAAATCATTCAACCGATGACGAGCTTATCACTATTTACGAAACGTATTCTAAATGTTCGAAAGTTTAACCTACATAAATATATACTTAGATTTCAAAAAAAGGTTCACCCATCTCTACTTTGTTCCTAAACGAAAAAATCTTCTTAGTCAAAGATCTTCTTAGCTTGTCAAAATTTATTCATAATATTTTGACTAAAAAGTAAATATGACACAGCTTGTCTTGTCACAAACTTGTAAACATTATTTTTGGGTTGTTAAAAATGTTTTTATAAGAAATTAATTTTAACAATGTAATAAAATAGTAATTAAGTTATTTTTTGTGCTGTTTTATATGAAAACGAATTATTGTTATCTATATGATATAAACAAAGTTATAAATACATATCGATGCTATAAAACATATAATAAAACTCAATCAATTGCGTTTTCATCACTTCAGATAGAGCGCGATGGTAAGTTGAGATCATGTAGAACACGATACCACTACTGGGATTTAAATCTCCGGTCACCTTTGTTCGGACGATGCCCACGTCTTACAGCAGAGCGGGTAAAATTTAAGTTACAGGAGAATCTATTGCCTGTACTACACTAAAGCTCCACGTATCCATTTAGCAGGTGAGATGCTTGAGCTTCCGCGTAGACGTTTCGAAACTTCACTCCTTACACAAATAGATCGCCGTCTGTGAAGCCAATTAATTTGTCTGAACTTCATTAGTCAAGTCTCATTGACATTATGCGTTTGCTGGCGCAGTGGTGTCCTTTCGGATTGATCGTCCAACATTCTCTGAATATCATTGCTCGACATTTGGTTATTATAAAACAGGCCAAGTGCGAGTCGGATTCGCGCACGAAGAGTTCCGTACCATTATCTATAAAAACGGCAAAAAAGTCATATCGGTTATATGGGAGCCCCACTTAATTATTTTTGTTATTCGGTTTTTTATGTATTTGTTGTTATAGCGGCAACAAAAATACATCATCTGTGCAAATTTCAACTGTCCAACCTTCACAGTTCACGAGATACGGCCTGGTGCCAGGCGGACAGACAGCGGAGTCTTAGTAATATGGTCCCGTTTTACATGTTGGGTGCAGAACCATAAAAAATGCTGTTGAGAAACTGTTTTAAGAATACTGTTATAAATTGTATTCGTGCCGCAATGATGTACAGGTTTCGGTTCATATTTCTGTGATAATAAGCAAACGATCAATGAAATTCTTAGAAGCAAACGTATTATAAAGGCGTATTGTAAAGGCGTATAATTTACAATTTATAATAGACCGTAATGATAAGTGTACAGAAAACCGTAATTCATTTTCTATTTTATACTCGTATATAAAATATGTTATAATTTTTCGTTAAAGTCTATTATTTTCCATTGAGAATGGTTTTATAGGTTTGTATCTAAAACGAGCCATAGTTCACGTAATTTTCTTAAATAGGCCCATTGCCAATTGCCATTGGCAGCAGAAAGATTAGCAGAAGGATATGCAGGTTTCTGAAGGTTACCTCTGGTTACCTCGGATTACCTCTGATTCCCTCGGTTACCAGGTCGAAACACAGTACTGAAAACACAAGACGGTAGAATCTGTTTGTATTTTTATTGTATACACAATATTATACAGACAATTGGAATAAATTATAAGTAGCAAACAATAAAAATATATTGAAGTCAACCGGGAATCTAACAATATATCAGCATAGCTTTATAATCGACTAATTCGTCAATATGTGCTTCGTGCCTTGTGATCACTGGTGCGGGTTTATCAAAATAATTTATCCATATCCTAAAAAAGTCATAGTCACAATATTACTCTTAATTAAACTTAAGTTTATTTTATAAATTGTTATTTGCTTTTGAAATAACTCTATGCGAGAAAATCGCACACATCTCGCTTCTTGTGTATTATTTCACACAAGTCTTTTTAATCAAGGTTGAGTTACAATAAAAACAATAGTTAATCGAGAGTATTTTTAGATTAGCCTTGGGTATTTTATAAACTTGTTCAATTAATATAAGTCATTTAAAAAAATCAATATAAGTA